TCTTCTCTCACGTCTCCTCCTCATACACTTCATTCCTCTGCTGCAGCTTCAAGACTGTGGCTTTAGTCGCCTCAAGCTCCTTCAACATCTCTAGCGTTTCACGTTCTTTCACAATTAGATCTCTCTGTAGCTCAGAAGCTTGTGCTTTGAGTTCAATGATATCAGTTTCTTCAACTTTTTCCTGCCACCAATATCATAGAGACAGAAACTTTACCTTACATATCCTAATTTTAACAACTCTGACACAGACAGAGCACAAAATCTTCACTAATGTGATGAATTTGAGCGATGTCGCTTAAAATCAGGTACCAAAATAGTAGGTAATGAACAATTCCTTGAAATGTGGTTAAGTTTTCTTCGTCATTATTGCTAAACATGACAGGGAAATCAAGCATCATCATCATCATAATGTCGTTTAGGACATGAAACAGACATCAGTAAACATCAATTTCTAAGTTTGATGATATCATTTTGTTGTTTCAGACAACAACAATGTCAAGCACGCTTAATCAGCTAACAACAGTAAAACCCTAAAAATCACATTTTTTAGACAGAATTTAAAGAAAAGACTGCTAGTGAAGGAGAGACAGGGAGAGAAACCTGAGAAGCTTCTGGGAGTTTATTGTGAGAAGGTCTCCAGAAACCAAAACCGCCGAAACGAGTGGCTGCTTCTCTCACTGACTCGAACGGAGCAGAAGTGTCTATCTCGGTTCGGCCATTCGACAGATCCGAGTCAGGGTTTAAAGTCACCGGCTCTATCACAGAGCCCCGGTTCTGGAATATCGGTCATTGAAAGCTACGGACGAAAGAGAAGCAGAAGGGAGAAGAAGAAAATGAAGTGGAACAGAGAGAGAGAAATGAGGATGGAACCAAAAGTCTTGGTGTTGTGAATTGAAACTGGTTTGATAAAGACGTGTCGGAACACGCGCCACGGTCGTCTCGTGAATAGTGTTAGAAAGTCCTGTTTTTTAGTCTCCATTTAAATTTGAAATTAGCAAAAATTTCGCGTCTCTTCCCTCTTTGATCATAATTGGCATTAAAGAAATAACCTCTAAACTACCAACGTTGTGTTGGTCTAGTTGTAAATTTTTCAGATAGAGATATTGGGTTTGACGTTTGTTAGAAAAAATCTTTTCTCCGAAAAAAATGAATTTAATTTGAAATGGGTTCCGCCTCTAGGAGATGTAGACCTTCAGATTTGAACTTTCAGATACAAAAAAAAAAAATAAAAAATAACTTCTAAACGGCTAAAACCATCTGAACGTTTTGATATTGATCAGATTGGTTAGAAATTGATCAGCAGAAATACAATAATTTTATAATCTTATGTGTTTGATTAATCAGCCTGAATCGGTATACTTACATAATAACAAAGAAAACTTATCAATTACTTTCCATTTATTTGGCTAGTAGTCCCTTAGGCCTTTCTCAGACTAACTTAGTTGAATAGTTGGCTATGATTAGTTTTTAAGCTAGTATGTTTGAGGATTTTGAATGAGCAGAGTATG